AATTTAATACATTTTTTGAACGTTCTCCCAATTAAAGTACAAGAAATTTTTTTTTCTTCTCATTTTCATCTAAGTTTTCTTTTTTAGTTTCTTTGTCTCTGTTCTTCTTTAGTTTACAATTCTTTAGGTTTTTTCATTTGAACTCTTAACACTATTTACAGTTTTTCTCGCCTAATTTTTTTTTCTTTTTTTTTCTTAACGCGCAAATAAGAAGACTATCAAATGGAAACAGATTTACTTTTTGATTTTTGTTAAAAAAATTCACACAAAAACACACACAAACACACGCACACGCATAAGCAAAGTTTTTTCTCCTTTTTCAATGTATTCTTTTAGTGCTTTCTTCTACAAATTAAACGATTGCTAAAATGGCAACATTTATAAATAAAATTTAATAAGGAAATGATTGATATTTTTATCTTTAGATAGGACTTGAGTTATTCTTAACATAATTTTATGGATTTAAACATTCAATGAAAAAAAAAATAATTTTTTTTTCTTAAAGATTCTCATTACTTAATAACTATACCTTCTTTCAATTATTCATTTTGTCAGCCTTCGTATATTTTGATTCGGACTCTGTAGATCAAAGGCTCTTCTAAAGGGTGATCAAATAAAAGTTATATGCTATATTCATGATAAAAGTATGGGATTATAGTCATTATATGATAATGATTGCAACAACCCGGAAAACACTTCAAAGTACCTCTAAAATGCATAGGCTCTTGATCGGCGCCAAATTTTGAATCGATTTAGCCACGTCTACCCGCTTGTGTGTCTTTGTGGGTATGTAACTTGGACCTGCTCTTTTTCGCAAAGATCTTCATCTTATCGGCTTCAAATTTCGCATATACAGTGGAAATTCTTCTATGCTATTGTAAATGGGTTAAATCGTTTAAAAGGCACGTCCACATTAAAAGGGCAAACTGAACGCATATCTATTTCTCTAACAAAAAATTTGTGGGTTTTTACTCAATACTCATAAAGGTTAAAAGATAGATTGGGCTACGGCGCGCTTCGCCCGGAGGATAAGTCTCAAGACTGCCAAGTCACTACTCGTCGATTTGATTCTATAGTCCGGTAGACCATAACAAGACGAAGTAGCTATATATTTCACTTAAGCACTTGGACTTCAATTGGGTTTAAATAGTTCAGTGTTTACACTTAAGTTCACGTATCAGTGCTTTAAGCCGAAAAATATGTTAAGAAATTGTTTACTTTGCTCTGCTTTTAAGTAATGATCGTCTCTTGTCGCAAGTAAATAAATAAATAAATAGAAAGATTAAAATCTTTAAATTTACTTAATGGACGACACTACTACTTGTGTTTAAAAACACAAAAAGCTGTCACGCCAACAGGAACTTAAATTCAATAAAGTTTTCCTCTTATAACATAAACGGGACGACATCGTCAACTTTTCTCTTTTTCTGTTATTATTTTATTCTAAATGACGCCTGTTAGTGATGCTCCTAAAACTTGTGCAACTCCTTAATACTAATCTAGTAATAATGACTTGCATTACCAGTTTTATTCAACGCTATAAAACTATAATGGGGAGGGTTGTACAAGATTTTAGCCCCAGTCGAATATAATTTTCTTATTTCTCTTCAATTTGAAATGGAAACCAAACGGCATAAGATATTGTACATCTTTTTTAATAAATCTTGTTGTTTTCAGAATAGATGTTTATGTATTAAGCTGTAAGTTTGTTCTTTCAATTTTCGCATTATGAAAACTTTAAATTATTTAATTAGAAGATTACTATCTGGCACTTTTTATATTGTTTATATGGCTGGTATGCTATCAATATCACTATGACTTTTTTTTATTTTTCCAAAAATTCGATCCTTGCACACCAATATTTGGCCATAAAGTAAAAAACATAATATACCTTAAATAGGTATTAAGAGTTTATGTGCTACTCCAGAGTTAATCCTCGGAAATGTTCACAATTTAACTAAGCCATACTAGGAAGAAGTGCTCTGTGTGACAGTAACGTATTCTCGTCTAATGTACGACGCACTAGAACCTTGGCACTAACTGGCCCAAGTATTTCGTTTACTCCTCGTGCACCGGGAGGTTGGCGTGGTTTGATTACACTTGGTCGCAGCAATAAGACTTGCACAGTGGGTATATGAGGAATACCATTTATCGATCGGGCGTATATACGCTAGGTTGTGAACATTGCCTATCTCTTTCCTCACTTCTGTTTGATCAGCACTTTGTTGCAGGCGTAGGAGACATCCTCAAACTCAGCTTAAAAAGTCGTTTGCTCTTCGTTTACATTGCCACATTACATATATCTCTGTTTTACATAAATACATTTAAACTTTAAAAAATATGTATACCTAGGAAGCTGTAAGTTAAAATTTCTTTTAAATTTTGGTACTGCCGTACTATGTAGCTTTTTAACGCATATGAATGCTTTCCAAAATTTATCATAAAATGTAACTAATTTAATCAATTTATAGGCATATTGCCAACACTTTTGTACATTAAAAGTAAAAAAAAAAAAAAAAAAAAACCAAAAACAAACACTGATGGGTTAAAGTAAAAAAACCAAAGGATTTTGCGATTTGCTTTCTAAAATGATCAAATTTTATAAAAAAAAATACCCCCTTAGTAAAAATATAAGCTAGTATTAGTGCGCCATCTTTCATTTATTATCACATTTTGTCAAGAAAAAAACTTTTTTTTTTTTTTTGTTTTTTAAGCATATTAAAGTATATGCTGGTTTTCGTTGCGTTGGCTGGCTATAGAGCGCTCGTAACTTGTGCTATTGTAATAAAAGTTGTTTTACTAAACAATACAATGATATGCTTTCAAATCTCGTTTATTCAGAATTTTGTCGCTGTTGATGAGAAAACTTCAATCAAAGTTATGGTAATAAAGTGAGTGAGTGAATGTTATGAAAATTTTATGGTTTATGAAATAGAGAGACACGAACATGCAATACACTGGCAAAAATATTTTTAAATAATTGATGAAATATTTCATTGAGATACCATAACAAAAACAGTACACACACACACATATCGCGTATTCAATAGAATCTCTTTAAAGCTTGCTTCATCAATCCGCAAATGCTTACTTACCATTTACGCTATAGAGAATTTTCCGATTCAGATTTTAACGGGATTATGTTTTTCATATGATTTGAAACAATATATTCTAAAGATTTAATGTTTGCAAACTAATGCATATAGTATGAATAAACTTATTTCAAATATGATAAAAGAAAACGCAAATCAGTAGAAAATAAAAATAAAAGACTATTTTACAAACATAGGTATTTTATAGTATCGTATCGTTTTTTTTAAAGATTTTTCAAACGTATTTTCAATAAGAAGCTTAACCATTGATTCATCGCAAAGAGAGAAAAACAAAAGATAATACATTAAGCTTTGAACGCTTTTTCAGAAATCTATTGTGTTTGCTTATTTTAGGTAATGTTTAATAAAATATATTTTAAAAAAAATTGTAACGAACATAACGACGAAAGTTATATTTCTCGCGCCCTAGCGAAGATCTCAATATATTTTTGTCATATACTTCACTAAAGTTTTCATAAGCTTGGTGAATACATGAGGCCGTAATTATGGACAGACAGGCAGCACTTATTTTAACGGTTGCTAACATTTTGCCATTTTATGTCATGACTGTGTAGATCCAAGTTAAAATTTTGGACAAAGACATCTTAGTCAGCCAACTATCGCAATTCAATTCAAAAAAAAAAAAAATAAAAGTGATATTATACCCTGCCACACCACAGTTGTATTAAGTTTGTGATCCCGGAGAGATTCCCATCATTTTTTATAACGATCGATTCAGGAAACAATTTTGAATCTTGGCTGTCCGTCTTGCATTCTTGTCCTCAACATACAGACCGCAATTTTTAAGATATTTTAATGAAATTTGGTACACTGTTCCGTTTCCACCCAAGGACGAACGTTGTTGAATTTGCTTCGTGTCGAACCACTTTTTCGACCATTTCCAAAACAAGGCCTTATTTTGAAAATCCGTTATATGAGCATGCGTAGGCTGGCGTAGGGTAGTTAATGGCGGACCGTGGCAAGCTACGGCGTCTTTAGTTGTTTTTTCGTTTTAGTTATTATTTTTTTCAGAAAAAATTTCTTTTCTATGTAGACGCTAGCTACAGATTGATTGAGGAAGATTATATATACAACACAGAGAGATCAGAAATCAAAGCTGTTTTCTGTATCGGAATCAAACAATGTTATCAAAGAGAGTCTACTGCAAATTCTTTAATTTTTCAAACAATTGATCACCGGTCTCATGAATGCTATCATTCTAAGCATGCTTATGGGCTATGGGCGTGAATCTATTTCTTTTCTGTATAAGGTTTGTTCTTTTGTTTAATTAGTCTGTCAGCCCATTGGTGGTGCGGGGTTACATACTATGCATCTATATAGTTGAAAATTGTTCTAAAAATATAAATAAACTGCAGCAAAAAATTATCAAATATTACAAGTTTCAGAATTAATCCATACTTACAATCTTTACCAGACAAGATTGCATCAAATTTATAAATGCATTCAAAAAAGTCCTGGTTGATTAATGAATGAGCTTAAAGCTTTTAAAAAATAATTATCTAAATCTTCTTTTAAAAACCCTGCAATTTATAAAGATTCTTGATCAATATTTATTCCCTGTCCGTCCGTCTATCTGCCGACTTGGAAATTAATTTTAAGTAAAAAGAGAAAGAAAGGCGTAATGGTTCAACCTTCTCTGTGACAATACATTGTTTATGCAGAGGATAAACTCATTATTAGCAACATGTTTGGGAAAGTTTACCTATTTGTTTGCGGTGTTAGTTTCTTGAAACTTATCGTAAGAGGTATGTACGTAATTTAGCTGAAGGGTATTTAAGAATAATTAAAATTATTATAGCAGTAGTAGATATATCTATAATTCGCCTTTTAGCGCATCTCGAAGTATGATACAATGATAATGTAACTATTTTGTGTTTTTATTTGCAGATAAAACAACAAACAACAAATTTAACAAAATGATGACAACATCGCAGGATTTCTTCTCGAATCCCTATTCATTGTTTCGTGGTCCACCAACAACTATGAGGCCACGTGAAAGTCCAATAAATAATTTTGCTTTGGATTTTCACAAGACAACACACAATCAGAATATTGATAGAGAAGAAAGGCCACCGGCGCCACCACCCTTACCACCGCCATTAACGCCGCCTAGGTAAGAATTACAATTATATTAAACACAATTTTTAAGACGATGACCAAATCAAATATAGTATGACAAAAAATAAGAATAAAAAAATAAATAAATAAATAAATAAATAAATATTTAAATGAAATTAAATCATCATCAAAATTATTTAGCAAAAAGTATAAAAGAAAACCATTAAGCGAGCATATCTTCAATCAACCAAATTTCTACAATCAACAAACAATAAGCTTTCCGGAAAATGGAATATAAAGGGGATATATATATATATATATATATATATACATATACATCTATATATATATATGCAAAAATATCTATCTACTAAAATAAATTTTAATAAGAAAAATTTGATTCAAATTTAAATTTTGTATCTAATAGAAAAAAAATTAATATAAATTTGCATATTAAAATCTCAACATTCGTGCATGTATTTAATTTAAAAAAATGCAAAAGAAGGAAAACCAATCAGTTTTAGTAACTCTCAATATAAATGCTTACGTATTAACTTTAAAAAAAATAAAAAAAATAAATAAAATAAAATTTAACAAAATATATAAATTTTTTCAACTAAACATATTATATATAAAAATGCATGAATATATTTTCAAAAAATTTTGATTGGTTTTTAAAATCATAAATATTTACATACAAATAAATGTTATATAAAATAGGTGAAGGGCCCATAATAGCACTTAAACATTAGGAAAGTGGCATAGGATTGCCTAAAGATTGTCTTAATAATTTAAAGAAATGCGAAACTGCTTTTCAAAACATAAACTATTGTTATGGAAGACAGTTTCTGTTGCTCATCTACGTCTTCATCATGGACTGTAATCCCAACAATAATTATTGTATTTAGGCATTAAATAAAAATTGTGCACAGACGCACATATTCATTAATTTATTAATAAGTAATTAAAATAGAGTAACTATTAGCAATAGTAGCAATAGTATTAGTAGTAGCAATAGCAGTAGCAGTAGCACTTGTAGCATTAAAATGAACAGTATTATTAATATGAAAATAAAAAAGTAGTAATAGAAGTAGTAGTAGTGTCGTAGTAGTGATAGACGTAGTGGTAGTCTATGTAGTTACTAGTAGCGGTTGTAGTAGTATGTAAATGTCTTCATTTATCTTTCTTTCTCTTGTAAGACATAACGCCAATTGGTTCTGTGCTTTCACTTAAAGCCTAAACATTCGTAATAAAGATAACATAAGTTATCTAAGGATAAGTAGTGATTTAAAATTAATTTAAACAATAAATAATACCTTGTATACGCGTTTCAATCTAAATAATTATTATATTAAATCTTAATAACCTTAACTTAATGTACAAGAAATCTAATAATATATCATAAGACAAATTTAAGCAAAAAAAAAAAGAAAAAAAAAATCGAATAACTGAAGAGACTATTGCAGAGAGAGAAAGAGCTTTCCAATTATCGATAATAATAAATAAGGTTTGCACTTGTAAGGATAAGAATATAAATTATATATATATATATATATAGATGAGAGTATATCAATAACGTATAAACAAACCTACACAATCATATCGCATAACAAAACTCTATCAATAACCATATTCTAATAATAAATATAAATACAATAATCCGTTAAAGTTAAGTGCAGAGCAAAACAAAACAAAAAAAAAAAAAACAGAAATTATGACCAAATTTGAGGGAAAACAGTAGCATACGAATTTTTCATCACACAAAGCTATGGAGTTGTGTCAGCATGATACTAACAAGTATATTACATATATGATAGATATATAGTTGTTAAGAATTACACAATTTATGTAAGATAATTTTATTAATAATTTTTCTTTTTCGTTTTTATATATTTAAGATTTAGTTTTTATGCTCATTACACAGCAAACCACTACCATATACTGTTAATGGCGATAAACATAACTTACAAAAAAAAAAAAAAAAAAAAAAACAATTTACTTTAGGGCTTACGTTGACCTATAAGATAAATGTTATTAACGGACTGAGAGTGAATTTGCTGATTTTATATATGCATCCCTCTTATTTTGAAGAATTTGTTAACTGAAAAAGATACATTCTCTCAGAAGAACTGAATAATGGGAAAAGATACATCCTCTCTAAAGCAGAGAACGCCGAATTTAAGAAAATTTGTTAACTAAGTCGACTTTTGCCACGTCCTTCTATATCCATTAAAATTTCGGATTCATTGAATTTTTACCATTCTATTCGGTCCATTTCACTCGCAATAATGCTTTTTTTGGAAACTCCATAAAGTGTTGTTGATTTGCGATACGGATCTCCAATTAATGCCAAATATTTGTTGTGCACTCTATGTTAGAATTCATTCTCAACAAATTCAATAAATTTACCCAAAATTTCCTCAAGTCAATTCGATTGATGTGGAAAAACAGAAAAATCAATGCATGAAAATTGATTTCTTTGCCAAATCTTCTTATAGTTATTAGCTTACACATGTCTTGAACCTTATTGACTCTAGATATGAAAGTTGTTTGTCTTCTAAGATTTTGTTATAATTACAGTTCACAAAAAATATCACGTATTTAATGAGCAACCACCAACCGATAGCAACCATTCATCGGCGCGTGCATTTTTGGATCCCTTTAGCTATATGTCTGTGAGGTGATATCTGCCCCTTAAAGTTAAAATTTATGCTGACAATCGAATAATATATAACAATCGACAATCGAATAATATATAAAAATTGATATTTTGCAATAAGTCTACACAATGAAGTGTTGAAACTTACTTTAGCGAAAGCAATTCTTCTCCCCTTCCTCACGTATAATTTTTTCTGACCATACTCTTTCTACTAGTTTTGTCTGAGTATAACATCACCTCTCTCTTTCCATCCATCTTTCTGCAACTCTTGAAATTTTCGATTACTAAGGCGAAATTTTACCCGCTAATTCCAGGCTCAAATCTAAGGAGCAAATTTGTAAAGGCCATAATTTGAAGAAAGCAAATCTATTATTCCAATCAATAACTTAAGGCGATGATCTGCGACATTTTCGACCTTGCAAATCAGTTTCACTGCTATTTAAGCAGTTAAAAAGTGAGCTTTTCGAACAATAATTTCTTCAAAATGAAAGTGAACTTATTCGCAAAGTATCAAGACATAAGAGGGATTCGATTCATAAACGACTTCACCACTTTTGTGGGAATTTCACCTAATCCGAAGCACATGCACGTCTTGTATAAACGCAAATATAACGTAATTCACCCACCGATAAGTACATTTTTCATCGTTTTTCAAACCGATTTAATGCTTATATGTAAATGTTTATAATTTTGGGCTTTTTATTTTAATTTTCAAATCAATTTTCTTTAATCAATGGTCTTTTTTTAAAACAATTGTACATAATAATGTAAATTGCAGTTAAAAACCAAAAAAAGCCTATATTCTAACTAAATAATAAATATGATGTAAAATAATATTTAAAAACGAAAAAAAAAAAAAAAATATATAACATTTATATGATCAAATCTAATATGAAGAAAAACACAAAACAAAAAATTTTATTATTATTAACAATAGCAACAGTAATAGCAGCAAGACCAGTAATAATAGCACTTTAAATAGCATAAGCAGAATAATAGCAGTAATAGTAGCAAAAGCAGTAATAATAGCAGTAGTAGTAGCAAAAACGATAGTGATAACATTAAATATTTTTGGCTTATCCTACTATAAAAATATTAATATTTTTAGTCTTTCAACTTTTTTTTCTATTTTTCTAAATAATAATTAAGTATAGTTGAGAGAATATATAAGATTTGTCCATGAATAAAATAATATATGAATTGGTAGTGGAGCAATACTAAAATTACTAATGAATACATAAAAAGTAAAAAAACAAAAAAAAAATCACTATTCATAATAATTAATTCAAAAAAAATTAATTAATTAATTAAATCTTAGCATTTTAATTAAGATTTATTAATCATAAACGTCAATAGTGTGATTATGTAGTGATTTTTTAGTAAATAAGTCCCGAATTTTTTTATCAATAAGTTCAAATCCCGAAATCTTTCTCGAAAAGTTATGAAATTGTGTTCAATTTAAAAACCTTTTAAAATATATTAACTCCCTCCCTAACCGTAAATCAAAGTAATCAACCTTGTAAAATGCACTTTTAGACCGAGAGTACAAAAGACGAATTCAACAAGAATAAATAAAAAATAAATAAAAATAAACAAAAAAAAAAAAAATTAATGAACAAATAAAAAGAATAAACAAAGAAAAATAAATCAAACAACAATAACCTTACGTTGTATATGGTGTTCCGATATAATTAATTGGAAATAAGCAAAGTAAAGCAAATTATCACACATCCATCCGTTTTTTCTTAACAAACTTAAGCGTTGTCGGTGAATGAATGATGTAAACTAAAAAATGTATTCCATAGTAATTTAAATTGTTCTACAAAACCTCTTTTCGAATTAATATGAAACAATTGATGTAATGAAAATCATAGATTCCGTAGAGCATATAGTTAACCATATTTATATTATATTATATATACATATATATAATTAGTAATCATATTTGTAACATATAGAAATCAATATAAATAAATCCTACAAACACATCAATTCAAGTCAAAAATTATTTTAATCATTTTTATATAAAATAAAATAAAAATGATTCCTAATTATATATATATATATATATATCGAGTAGTAGAGATAATAACCAATCAAAATTTTCTGAAACTACAATACGTAAGCAATAACTTCTTTGAAAAACATCTTTTTTACTTAAACTCATACCTAAGATTTTTCCAAAGTAAATGTTTTTTAATTCATTATATATATATATATCTATATATATTAAGTAAAAGAGAAAAAGAAATTCAAAAAAAAAAAAAAAAAACAAAAAGTAAATATTAAAAATAACTGCCCTATACACCACAATCAAAAGACATCAATCAACAACATGATCAGCCGTCATACAAACAATAACGATATGGGTAAGTTATCAAATTTAATTAATGAAA